ACTATTCAATAGTTATTCAAAATACATTCCCAATAAATGATTAAGACCTGATAAGTCACATGTGGGTTACCTACACGATATGGAGTGATTATGGAGAGAAATTATTAGTTGCTCAGGTCCTTTTAGTGTCATTTAGGTGCATGGAAAGGCAGTTTCCATGCCATTCTGTGAATGTATGAAGACCAGAGATTAAGAGATTAAGTCTGTAAGGAATTTCAGAAAGTCTGTTCTTTGTCGTGAGGTGGGGGAAGTCAATTTACGGGGCTCGTGACTGCGTTTACTATCACGTGAGGGTCATGTGGTCATCTCTTTGACCATTTAATCTTGATTACTTGCTCCAAAATTGACAATCTCCTTCCTGAGTTGTTATGATCAGTGTGTTCCTTTTGTTTTAATGTTGAAAACTGTTCTGTGAAAGAGTTTGTTAGCCTTGCTTCAGACTGGCTAGTGCTCGGGTCTGATTTATGACATCCTGTTGTCTTGGGCCTCTTGTGGAATGTTTTGACTCCTCGTGCCTCAACCATGTTTTGACCAAATCTGAGATTGTCTGATTCGGTCTGATATCCTACATAACATAATTCATATTTTTATAATAAACCATTGTTAGTACCCTTGTGGCATACCAGACATAATAAAACATTTTAACTCGCAACAATACAAAATATATATATTTTAAAAAATCTGATAAAATTACAAAAACAAGTTTTAAATAAATTTTAACAGGTAACACATATACCACAGTGCCTCAAAACCACAAAACACATTAATCTGGTACATGCTGCATTTTCTGTACAACAAACATTTGCTTTGCTAAGACAGTCTTGAGACAATAGTAAGTGTAATTTTGTACAGTGAGTTTACACTGTAAACAGTGAAATTAAAGTGTACAGTGAAATTAAAATGAGCAACTAAATCGGAATATGTTCCAGTGTTCTATTGCATTCTAAAAAAATAATTAACTAATTTTAAACATTTCTAATCCTGGCTGCATCCCTAAATAGATTCAAACAAATAAGTTAATTTATAGATAAGTTGATTTATAGATCCACTGGTCCAAGGGTTGGTTGTAAAAGCATTGTGGGTCTAATTCTGCATTTTGTAATAATTCTACTCACTCTTTTTCCAGTGTTGTTTGTTTGTTCCTCTACATCGCTGTTTGTACACTTTTAACTTGCTGATTGTTACTGGCAATAATGTGTTCTGCCTTTGAGAGCATGCAGTCTCGTATACAGAAAACAGATTCAACTACATCACTTAAAACAAAGAAGTAAAGTAGTAGAGTAGCAACTATGTCAAGAGTATCACGGATCATGTGATTATGAGTTTGCATTAATTCTTCCCACTTCATATAACCTGAAATTGCATTAAGTGTCTCGATAGCTTGATTACATTACATGCAAGCTAGCAAAAAAAAAAAAAAAAAAAAAAAAGTTTTAAAAAATAAAAGGCATTCATTTTATAGAATGTATACACTTGTTTTGGTGTTTAGCACTTACTCTTACTCTCACTCTCACTTACTCTGAAAGTGAATCTGAAGTTTATTTTTCACACTTTTAGCATGTTTAAGCCCCCAGTCTCCCTCTACAGCAGGGGTGCCAAACTCAGTTTCTGGAGGGCCAGAGTCCTGCAGAGTTTTATTCCAACCCTGCTCCAACACACATACCATGTCGTTTTCAAATAAGCTTGAATGACTTGATTAGTTGGATCAGGTGTGTTTAATTAGGGTTGAATTTAAGCTCTGCAGGGCTCCGGCCCTCCAGGAATTGGGTTTGACACCCCTGCTCTACAGTGATGGGATAAGGATATTAATCCATTGCGATCCTTCTGTTCAACAAGGAAATTACTTGTCAGTGTTTATGCTGTAGTTCATCACACCCACCTTCCCTTTCCCTTTTGTTTCTGCGTCAGTTTATAATGAAACCAAGAATGTGGCCTGTTTTCAACACAGTGACATTTCAGTGGAGGCTGGGGAAAATTTTCTAGTTACACTTTAACGCGATTGCTGTAAATTTTACAGTAACTTACTGGCAGCTGGATGCCAGTAAATTAAAATGTTTATAGTCTTATTACTGTAGTTTACAGTATATTTCTGTCTTTTCATTTACAGTATTAATTGTTACATACACCAGCTGCGAGTGCCCTTGTACACCAGCAGAGTGTACTCTTACCGCTTGCTCTACCGCCTTCATGGACTCAGTTTCCCATAGTTCTTTGCCTGTCATCAGTGTAATCATGTGCAGCTGTTTCTCATCACCTCATTATCTTTTTGCCTATTTATACAAGTTCTGTTGTTTGTAACTTAGCAAAGTATCGACTGCATTACTGAGTGTCTCTGTGTTTTCCTGGTCTTTGATATCTGCCTGTGTCCTTGTTTTCTTGTTCCTGTTTTGTCCTCTGGATCTGTATGTTTGTTTGGACTGATTACCTGTGCTCTGACCTACTGCTTATTTCATGGACTTTGGATTGGGATATCAAAAAACTGCATTTGTATCCTCAGTCTTCGTGTCTCTGTGCAGTTCATAATTACTGTTAAATGTATTAAGTTTATTTATTTCGTTTTCTTTTTAAAGAATACAAATTTAAAATCATGACCTCTAGGATGCACTAGCTGAAAAGAAAGGGCATCACCACAGTCCATTAATCGCCTGGGAACTTTGTATCTGTAGCATGGCAAAACATACACATACTAAAAAACAAAATAGGCCTTACAAAAATAAAACAGTAAAAATCAGTTTGTGTTGTTGAATTTCAGTAAATTCTTGTTCAAAAATTCCATCCGATCTGTGACTTTGAATGGCATTTGGTGCCACCAGTGTTGATTCTTGGAATGAATCTGCAAATACATATATACTAATACTGTAAAGCTGCTTTGACACAATCTGTATTGTAACACTGATAAAAAAATTATTTTGTGGTGAAGTAAATACTATGGAAAAACAAATGTAATTTCTACATTAATTTAGTTCAGGCAATAATTTAAAAAAGAGAGTAAATTATATATTAGTACTCAATTTAATCGTGTACAACAGGGCTGCCCAAACTCGGTCCTGGAGGGCCGGTGTCCTGTAGAGTTTAGCGCCAACCCTAATTAAACACACCTGAACCAGCTAATCAAGCTCTTACTAGGCATATAAACTTCCAGTCAGGTGTGTTGAGGAAAGTTGGAGCTAAACTCTGCAGGACACCGGCCCTCCAGGACCGAGTTTGGACAGCCCTGGTGTACAAATTAAAGTTTGAACTTATAAGTATATTTTACTTGGAATTGTTTATGTTTACAAGGATTCTTTAATCAAAGTTATGATCCCGTTGATGTGACATCTAGAGTTTGTTTTCCACTCATTCATACACCTACACTATCCACTGATTGTTACCGTCATTGTGTATACCAAGCGTTTAGGTCTCTGTGTTCATTTTGGTAATAACTGTGTTGAGTAGACATATTATTTAAAAAAAAAATGTCTCCAAACATTCGACTGTACCTTACAACCAGCCTTAGCCACTATAAGGTCACTGAGAACATGGTCCACAATAGTGGCCCTTATTTCATGGGAAATATGCCTACATCCTTGGCCTTTTCTACCTCTTCCAGTGTTTTGCCTCCCTACCCTTCCACCATGCATCCTTACTCTTCTACTTCTGTTTGTTTCCTTGTTATTCAATTGTAGGAAATAGTATCATTGCGTTGTGCTCTGTCTATTTATGTTTGCCAATTGAACATTATTGTGATGTACCCCTCATTTTACATTCCCTTCATTAGTGAAATTCAAGATTCACCTGCAAAAGCAACTGAAAAAATTGTAATGGAAAACTGAGTGAGGTTGTGGCGAGGCATGATATTAAATCATGAGGTGTATCCTTCCCTTCCTTCAATCACCCACAATCCTTTGCACACATTCAAATTCACGAAAAAAGAATTAGCCGAAAATAAAACGACACTGAACTTGTACAATTTCAAGTAATGCAAGACAAAAAAAAGGAGATTAGAGCATTAAACCATCTAATTTTAATGTTTAATGCTGAGAAGGACTTTAGCCTTGAAGCCTCAGAAGGACTGGACTAGGAAGGCTGCATCCTCACTAGGATGCAGCCTTTTATTTAAGAAGCACTCGCCTTGTGGTGCTGCCAGTGTGCATACGGTCATAGAAAACAATGTGTTTGGATTTTAAAGATGTGGCACTCTCTCTTCTTTACGCTTTGTTTTGCTAACGTTTGAGTTTCCTTTTAGGGGAAGGGTTCTGATAGCAATGCCATTCAAAATGCAAATAGAAAAATAAAATAATTTAGAAAATTATTTCTGAATCATAAATGTGTTACCCACCACGTTCCATTTTCACCTGCATTTGGTGGGTTGCCGGGTGTTAATTTCAGATCCTTCTTACATTCAGTGTATATGGTTGCCACAAGTGGCACAATTTGGAAAAATAATTGAGAACCTTAAGAACCTTAAGAATTGAGAAATGAGTCTTGGCGATTGTGAAAAACTGGGTGTGCACTGTCCTGCCCGCGCCACCTCCTCATTACAGTTTAGGCTGCTATTTGTATGCACCACAGAATATTTGTATAACCAGACTGTCCATGAAAGATCTTTATTTGCTAGAAGCCAGAACAGTTGAAGTTAGTCAGATCACAAAATAAAATGTGCACTAGCTGCTAAAATGTTGGCCCATCCATTGATGAAACATTTTTCTTGTTTTATTATCAATTTTCCTCCAAGACAAGAACTCGATACTTTCTTATTGCAGTTACACACCAGCCAAGTGAAACAAACTTTTACTTAACGGTATATCTAATTTTAATCACTATGCTGCTTTAATACCCATACTCTTTTCCTTTTAAGCAGCACTTCAATATATGAAAATAAACAACTGCTGATTAGGGTAGGTACAGGTTAGAAGGGAACCATGACATTAAAGGCATGTTGCCTACATTGCATCCATCAGCCTACATTGTAATAATTTCTGTAATTCTCTCAAAAATGGCATATGTTATATACCCGCGGTGTGTTCAGCTTCACCAAATCCATGTAAAACAACAACAAAAACAATAAATGTCAAAACACTTAAATCTCATAATCATTACTGGAAGGTGATTAGGTATTCTGGATAAGCCTGTACATCATTGAAGATCACAAACATGGTTGGGTTTCTCGTGTTATCAGTCACACTGTTATAGAGATCAGCTCTATTGGAGCTCCTCGCAGGGGGAACAGGAAGGCCTCTTTTTCCTTGAGTGAAATCACCAACAAGCACCCTGACAAGGTACATGCGTTTATGTCCTTTGGCATCAGGTGCAGAGTAGCCTTGGGCTGAGTAATGTGGATCCACAGCAAAATATGAACCATTCCCATACATGGCTCCTAAAACAGAACAAGAGAAATAGACTATTGAATTAAAAGACAAATGGATACAAGTGCGAATAAAGTTTATATTGAATTTGACTGATACCATGCATGCCAGCGAAGCTGCGATTGAAGCCGTGATTGTTGATCTGATCTGTCTTATCAGGGCCAGTGCCGTGGAAGAGACGCTTTTCATTGTTTTTGTGCTTGTTTTTGTCTTCCAGTTCCTCTTTTTTTATCATGTAGTTTTTCCAAAGTGCACTGTTCTGAACTCTTTCAATCTACAAGCAAAAATATATATTTAGTTTAGGCAAACATTAGATTTACAACATACTGTAGTACTAAAAAGCAACACCAGAACCTGTCGAAACTAATAAATAGGAGATTTATCTTCAGTCTAATCTTACTTCAATGATTTTAGAGTTTAGATTGGTTCTCCTGAACTCCTTCTCCACTTCTGCATATTCCTTTGAGCCTGCTGTGAGTTTTACAAGAACAACTGCCTGTCCTTTCATGTCCTTCCAGTGTGAAGGCAAAGGGCTTTGAGCAGCAGCTGAAGCTGCAACTATTGACAAAAAGAACAAAAAACATGAATAACTAATACATTATCTGTTATCTGAATTATAAAATAATCTCACCTTGCAGATCTACTCTGTTCAGTTCAATCCTTATTCCTCTTCTTGTGGCCTCATTGCGAGCTAAATTAGCCTCATATTCATCATTATTAATCTTGATTCTCACTGTAGACTGTCTCTTCCGAAAGGCCTGTTCCAGCTCATAATTGGTCAACATATCAAAGGTTTTGGGGCTGTGTCCATTCTCCTGATATTGCCAACTAACTATACTGCTGATTAAAAATGCCTCACTTCTTCGGATTTCATTCCTTTCCACCTTTCTGATCATGTCCCGAATGTGACTGTCTGCAATCTGAACGTCTCTTGTCAGGCCCTCCAGTGTTATGACAGAGTCTTGGCCTTTCTTCTCAAGCCGGACACTGACTGTGAGCTCTCTCTGCATGGCATTCAGCGTTTCTACATCCTCCCTGGTGAAATGAGCAATGGCTGGATCATGGATTGGGATGGTCACATGCTCCCGTAATATCAAACTGTTGACCATGTCCCTGCCTTCACTCAGGTCCTTTGGTGTCTCACCACACAGTTGAAACACAACTGGCTCAACTTCTTCACCGACCATCACAAACTCTTCATTTTTGGAAGATTCTGAACTTTCCCCCCAAAGTAAATGATGAACAGTATCTTGATGAAAAGAAACAGAGGGAATAATTACGTTATTTTAAAAAAGAAGACTGGATGGTATAAGCATACATTTTATAATTCTCTACTGACCTTTAATTTTGGTAAGCAGACCTTTATCCTCCTCTACTTTCTCACCAGATCTTCTGACCATGCTTTGGTGGAAGTCTGCCACCATGTTTGTCTGGAATATAAGACATTTCACAAACTTTACGTGCACTGGTTTCTTTTTCTTTACAAAGTCGACAACTGCATCAACCATTGCATCTGCAACACCAGCTGGTTTTGCACCACCCTGACCTAAAGAGTTAGAAAAAAACAAGCAAACCAAAATAAATTAGTGAATAATTTCACAAAACATGTAAGTAAAAAAAGGTTGAATTAAATGTACAATAACTAAATAAGCAAAATTCTTATTGCAATTACGTAAAACGTAAAATCATACAAAATGTCTTACCAGTGCCAAGAGCTGGGAAAGCAACAGAAGTAATCTGGCTTGACTCACATAACTTCAGAACAGACAAAACAACATCCTTAATTTCAGACGGACTATTGTGTCCAATAACATGGATGATGTTTCCACATGGAAGCCGCCCGGCTGAGGTCACAATCTCTGTTTGCTGCATGTTTGATGATCCCACTATTGGCAAAAAATGTTTACCTGTAGCATCTAAAGTTTATTAGATCTCTCTTAAAGTATAAGTCAAAAAGTCATGAATTCAAAAAAGGTAATGACCAACAACAAGATGTAAATCTAAAGGAATACAAACCAATCTGTGAACATTCTTGTACCACTTGTACTCCAGCTGCATCTAAAATGGCCTTGGATACTCCTGGATTACAAAGAGAAATTAACTGTTACATTATGATTCTGTTCGAATGTGAATTAATTATAAATGATTCACTGAAACAGGTAAGACAGTGAGCATGAAGATGGATTAACCTGCTTTCAGAGAAAATGTCTGATTTGAGGAGTTGACGATGGCATCAGTTTTTTCTTTAGTTATGTCTCCTGATGAAACCTCCAGAGTCACTTGACCCAGCTGCATAGTGTGCACCCCGAGAGAGGGAGAGGAGACTTTGCCAATAACCTCTAAAGATAAGAAAATAATATGTTCACAATGAAGTTCAAAAGAAAAATATGTGTGATGGACATCAGATAAGAAAGTGTTACCAGAGGTCTGAGCTGATTTGCTAGAAATATTCATTTTTGGCATGACATGTCGATGTGCTCCTTTTGTGATGGGACCCTGAATCCCTTGTCTAAAGACGCTGGTAAAGCACTAATAGATAAAGCACAGAAATATACAAGATAACATTAACATGAGCAACTATGTTAAATTATTTAAATAGTTTATAGTTCAAACAATATTGCTCATACTGTATGTGATGGGAAAACTCAACTTTGAGTTTTTATGGTTCTTGAATCAAGTTTTCACACTCACCTCTACACTCTCCTTGTCAGAAGGGTGCACAATCACAGTTACCTCTCGAAGGTTTGTAGGCTTATATTTCTGGACTTCTGTCAGCATGATTCTGGCCACCAGATCTTTAGGAAAGCCAAGATTCCCAGTCCCGATAGCTGGGAAGACAACTGAAGCCATTTTCCACTTTTCTGCTTTTTTCAGGCAATATCTAATGATCTGAATGAGCACCTATTAAAATGTAAATAAATATATATATTATAATCTTTAAAGAAAGTACCATTTGAATAAATAAATTAAGCACATTTGCAATATCATTTAATCCTAAACACAGCCAGCTGTAACACAGTTAATGATGATTTTGTTAAAATTCAATTAGGAAATTGTTTTTCTCACCTTATCTTCTGAGCCTTGTCTCCAAAATGGGCAAACTACATGGAAGACTTTTTGACATTTCAGTTTATAACCATTTGTGATGACCACTTCACCATAATTCACACTGTTCGAGCGAGCAGCTGTGTTGATTTCTGACTGGAGCTGATAACCAGCAGTCTGAAGGAGTGCTTTGGAAATGGCACCTTTACTGAGGTCCAAGTCCTCTGATATAGTGTTTACAATGACATCGGACTGCAGGAGAAACAAAGGAGACACTTCTGTTGAAGGATTTGGTCACCGTTGATTACAATAAAAACAGGATAAAATATTTCACTTTGATCAGACTTGAATGCAGGTACAGCAAAAGCACATTAGCAAGAAAATAGTTAATCAAATAAATTCACTGCACAAAAATCTTGTCTAACAAAATTTACTTGAGATGCAATACAGCATAAAATTAAGCAAGGGTGTATCTTGCAGGGTGAGGGGTTCAGTAAGAAAGCATGTGGTACATTTGAATATGGCACACAGAATGTGACTGACCAAATCGACTGTCTCAGTATTAACTTTGAACTTCTTTAATTATAACTCAAAAACCTTTTCTTAAGGATTTTTAGATATTTTTACAGGAAAACAAGCTGTGATTTTTCTGTCAGTTTTTATAATTAACGATTCACTTACACTGGCATCCTGGATGTTCCCTTTGCTCAGAATGATTTTTAGTCCCTCTTGTGTAGTTTTCCTCTCAAGTACACTTAACCCTTCAAATTTATCTGATCTGCCACCGTAGTTTGATGTTTCTCTTCTCCAGTGTTCTTGTCCCTCAAAGTCTCTATTACCATGGCTTTTGGGATCTTCAAACTCTTGGTTTCTTTGGCCATAGTTTTCATGGCCATGACCACGACCACGGCCATTTTCACGATAGCCATGCCCATAGTCACTACGCCCATGGGGTTTGGTTTGATGAGAGAAAGTCATTTTGGGGTTATAAGCAGCAAACTCTTTACTGACAGCTTGAGTCATGGCATTCAAAGTGCTGCCATTATTGTCAACCAAGTGAATTTCAGTTAAGGTGCTATTAGAGGCTCTGTGGTTGTGATCTTCAATGTACTCATGCACCTCCTTGGCAATTGATTCAGTGCAGAGGTCGAGAGGACAACCAAATATCCCTGAGCTAATAACTGGAATTGCAATGGAGGAGCAGTTTCTGCTTGACGCCTGGTTCAGACTTTCCCTCACAGCATGTCTCAGGCGTTGAACAGTGGTACGTCTGTCTGAATCACTGAAACGAGGTCCAACAGCGTGCACCACATATTTACTGGGAAGACGACCAGCAGCAGTGATGATGGCATCTCCAGGCTTCAGAGGTCCATTTGCTTTTGTGTGTAAGTCACAGTTTTGCTGCAGACTTGGTCCAGCAGCTTGGAGAAGTGCTAAAGCTAAACCACCGATGTGCTTCAGATCTTCATTAGCAGCATTGACCACAGCATCAACATGGAGCTTGCAAATGTCTGCCTTCCTGACAGTAACTGTTACTCCACCTGGCATTCGAACCTCACAAGAGACCTGGCCAATATCTTCAAAACTGCCTACAGCAAATTGATCTTCCTCCTCTTCCAGCATGTCATCTTCCTGAAGAACAACCACAAATCTTTTTTCCTTCAACAGCACTGAGACCATCATTTTACCCTGCTCCATGAAATACTTCTTTGCTCCTGCCTTTTTAATGATTAGCGTGTCTGTGTAGAGACCATCTGCCAAAGTTTTAAAGAGAGTCATAGCTGGCTGAACAAATGTACGCTTTCCAGACAGTTTGATCCTGGGTCTCTTTGGATCAAAATTGACTTTCACTTCATCAGACTTAATAAAATGCTGCCAGTCTTGTGATTTTCTAACTTTTATGAATTCAACCACTGCATGTGATTTGACACTAATGGTTTCTTCAATTCTAGTGTGTTTCTCAATTAAACATCCTAAATTCTCACTGACCTCCATCACTGGTTCTCTGAATCCAGTCACTATTACTTTTTCTCTCTGCAAAAGGTTTATAGACACAAATCTCTTTTTTTCCATTTGTTTTTTGAGTTCCAGCCACTCTGGCATTTGAGGGACACCCTGGTCTTCTACAGTGAGGTATTTGGTTGTGAAAACTGTATTCACCCTCTTCTCTGCCTCAGCAAGTGCTCTTTCTGTGCTCCCAATCACAACAACATCTCCATTTTCGATTGTGTAGACAGCAGTTATTCCATGAGATATGAAGAGCTCTCTGGACATTTCATCACAATCCTCTGATCTCAGAAACTCCAGGACTGAACTGTCAATCTGTAAGCGCTTCTGTTTCATATTTATTTTCTTCTCAAGGACCCGATTTTTGAAGTCAAGAGTTTCTGTATAAAGACCTGAAAAAATTAGTCTGTTCATTGTTTTATTGTAGTCAGTGTGCAGGTGTGGAGAAACAGCATTTTGCAGACCATCTTGTTCAAGCAGAGTGTACACAGCAGGAGGAATTTCCATGTACTCTGTCACACTGTTCTTCTCTCTTTCCATTTGATTTGTTGCTCTCTCTAAAATTTTCTCCATGATGGGTTTCAGTCCAGTTATGTCAAGGGTCACTCCTGCCAGTGTCAGCACTCCTCTAGAGGCATCCATATCTGTGAAAACCTGATTCTTTACTTCTTTCTTTATATCACTCTCCACTTTAGTCCACAAGGCATGTGACACCGGCCACTCAGATGTTGTGTAATTTGAGATGATTTTCTTGAAGGCATCAGTTGCATTCTTACTCCAGCCATCAATAAGTTGTCTGGTAATTCCTTTCTGTGTCAGTAATGCTGGATCAGGACTGAGCAAAACTTCAGGTTTGTCCATGTTTATTTGGCAGAAGCTCATCCGATCTTTCATAGAGGAAATCTGCCCTTTCTTGAGGATGAACTCCCTGATGGCAGGATGTACACTGACTGTAACTGGTTCAGGCAGCTTCAAATGTGGTCTTTTGCCACCATATAAGATTGTATCAAGTGATTTGAAGTAGGGATATATCTTCACTGGAACATTGTAGATGTTATTCTCTCGCTTCAAAACTCTCTCTTTGGCTGAAAAACAATAAAAGTTACAGGTACAAATGTATAACATTGGAATAACTGCATTAGCATTGGTTTTACCACATTTAGAACTGTAACAGCAAAGTCTACCAGCAATTGCACGTGTATTTACTTTCTTCCTCCTTAAAGATAATAATGGCTGCTTGTTCTGATGGAATTGTGATAACTTCCACTACTGGACCGCCCCATTTCTCAAAATACAGTTCCAGCAGCATCTTGTTGTTGTTGGCTTCAGCTGGAAGATTCTCCACTCGCACACTTGTGCTTCTCTCCAGTGCACGGGCCCTCAGATTATTCTTCTTGAACTTTTCATGTGTCCTGCTGTCCTCAAGGAACTTTACTGCAGCTGTCAGAAATCATATCATAAAGAACATACCAGACACATTTAATCAATAATAACAATAATAACAATAATGTGCAACTAAAGTATTAAAGATGTAACACAATCTCAGAGATGGAAAGTCTGATAATTATTTTGGAGGGGCAATTTACGTTTCATCAGTTTGTTAACATCATCATATAATGGTGTCATTAACAGCTAATATTATTATCCCTGCTGGTGAAAAAACATGCTCAAACACACCAAGTCATGTCTAAGCACAGCTGATTTGTAACTATCATTACTCTATCATTAATTAAATAAATAATTAAATAATGACAATAAGGGTGTTTCTTCAGTAATCCTGTACACTGCAACCAAATGGCAACTATTGATAACATCCTAGATAAGTTTCCCAGTAATGATTTGCTAATGTTTTACTCTCTTTACTATGTTTAAATGTCTAAAGCAAATAAAGTGAATAAACTAATCTTAATCAACTCGTCTTTTTACAGAAACCATGATCCAGCTCATAAAAACTTATAATTTGGATACACAATAGTAAAATTAATTCACTGTACATGTCTTGACTTCACGTTTTAATAAAAATCAGTTTGATAAAATGTATATTTCCAGTATGTTCTGTTTGCTAACGTGTGGCCACATTACATTACTGCAGCTTTCTGTTGTTCAAAACAGCGAATATGTGCCACCAATTTGAACCCATTCCAAAACCTGTGTGGGGAAATCTATCGCTATCATGTGCAATTCCCTATCACATGGATTGCTACTGAATAACTGGCATGATATGATCATACTCTTGTATATTTGCTCATTCCGTTTTGTGGTGACTGTTGGGTATGCTTTAAAGCAAGCTTTATGAAGTAACTTGTGGGTCAGTGTTGATATCAGCCACAAACTGTTTCAAATGATTCAGTCTGATTTGGTGAACTGTTTGATTGTGTTCACTAAAAGCAACCATTTCAAAGGAGCAATTTGTTCAATAACTGGTAATGCTGTCAACCGATTAATCACAATTAATCACATCCAAAATAAAAGTTTTTGTTTATATAATATATGCGTGTGTACTGTGTATATTTATTATGTATATATAAATACACAAACATACATGTATATATGAAAAAATAATTTTATACATATATATATATATATATATATAAACATATTTTTCTTAAATATATACATGCGTGTGTGTATTTATATATATATATATATATATATATATATATATATACATCATAAATATACACAGTATACACGCATATATTATGTAAACAAGTAAACAA